CCTTTCTGGCAAGTTCATGTTGTTCTGCCTATATAATAAAGCACTTTAAGTGCCGCGGCACGAGCATTTTTGGTTCCATAGATGACACTAAAAGCTGTTCCCCTACCCTCCTTCTTAACCCCCCCGAAAAAAAAAAAAACTGAACTCTCATAAAGTGCGTGCACGCACCGCATAAATAACCGGGCAAAAACTTTGAGTTTTACGCATATGAGGCCAAGTTTATGACTGTGTCGTATAACTTAAACTACGCAGAATTCAATTAACTCGAAGCGCCAGCTTGGTAGTCCTGATTGTGGTCCTGAACTTGCCACGTTCCTGGACCAAGACAAGGACCCAGACCAACTGTGTCTTGGCTGACATCTTAAGCTGCTTGTGGGAGTGTGTGTGTAAGTGTGTCTGGCTTAATGAGAGCAGCATTTGCCTGTCAGATTGCTGCCTTTCTTCTTATTTTCTATACATAAACTCCGTATATAGATATATATTTTATTTTTCTTGACGCTTAAACAAAGGAGAAAACTAGCTTCAAGGACCAAAGTTTACTAACAACACACACATGTTGCAGAAAGTTTTTTTCTGCCGTGGGAGCAACAAACTTTAGTGACATCCCTCGTTTCAGCCAGACAGAGCCCCCAAAAAGTATGCAGCACGCATTTTAAACGTTTTTAATTTACAGACTGCCAGTTATGTATGAGTATGTATGTGTGTATGCATACCTCTAGAGGTTCTGGAATCCCCAAGCTTAGCGGACAAGTCCTGGTCTGAAACTCCTTGTCAGTCTTCAGTTGTCATGGAATTCGTTGCCCTCCGGTTTTCCCTCCTTTTTTTTGTCATTTGTCGTCGTTTCGTTTTTTCGGGGGTATTTGCATTTTTTTCCGTCTACCTTATTTTTTTGTAGGAATTTTGTGTCGTAATGCCGTGTATTTTGTTGTTGGTTTGATTGATGGCATTTGGCGCCATGCAGGGAAAATTTCTGCGTTTGTCATTTATAAATAGAAGAACAACAATGCCAGCGAAAGGAATATAATAAAACATTCCGCAATAGATTCCGTGAGGGTTGAGTTATTTGTGGGCGAATGGGCGACATTATGTGACCCCCACGAACTCGAGTGATACGGAGAATTAATTTGGATTGGGTTTTTTTTGCTGTGGGGGAAATTGGGTAATGGATAGGGCGGAATTAACTATAGACGGGGTTTTACATTAAGTTTAATACGAAAGAATAGTCTTAGAATAGGATGCCTAAAATCAGAATCTCCCCAAAATCGAGTTTTTCAACTACATACCATAGCATACTTTCCCGCTGAGCTCCTGCCATCAAATCGAATCAACCATCAACTGTATTTACCACATCGCAATCGATCTTTAGTTGAATGCTAAACTAACTTGCTTCATAGCAGCGCACCTAAATCCCCTAAAGCTAGATTTTCCGCCCCTTACAACCATACTTACAACCCTGCCCACCCCCCCTTCTACCTAAGAATTGTCAACAAAGTAGCCATTTTGTATGCTCGACCATGCCGCAATGTGTGCGCCACAATAATTAATTACAGCATTCTCTCGATGGCGGCGACAGCATTTGCCATTTTGTCCTTGCTACTGCCACACTGCCGCAGCTGAATCCGCTTCTGCTTCTTCTGCCACTTCCTCTGAGCCTTCTTGATTGCTGGCCATGTGCTGTTGTTGTTGTTGTTGTTGCTGGTGTAATTGTTGTATCCTTGACATTTAGAAGAACTAACAGTCGGTGCAAAAATGTTCGCCACGCTTCTCTGCCCTCAACCGGAAGTGAGAAATTCTTTAGCAGTTGAACCTAGCGAGTGGGCGAAGAAACATGAAGAAGAATGGTTAAATAAAAAAAAGAGAAATACACTGAGAAAAAGAGTTGTGATGTAAAACAAAATATATCCAAATTTGATGACATCTTTTTTTAGAATATTTTTCCTAAATTTTACTTTCCTTTTTTCTCTGTTTAAAAAAGGAAAAAAGTTTCACTATTTCGAACCAAAAAGAAAACCTTATGAGCTGCCTTTGGTGGCTTGAAGATTCATTTGTTGACAGTTCTAAACCACTGGATTTCTCCCATCTCCATTTTCCTCTAGTTTTCCCCTCCCACCTAAGCAACCTCCTCCTCCTCCTGCTGTATTCCACTTTTATGTCCCTTTTATATCCTGCGGAACATTTCTTGTGGCTGGCAATGCGAATTTGATTTTGCTCATTTGGCCAAACTAATTTGTGCATTTGTCTCTGTTTCTTCCGCCTCCATTTCTGTCTCTTTCTTCTCGTAATCTGCCCCTCTCTCTGCCCTTCTCTCTCGCACTTCGTTAATGCCCTGCAGCTGTTGCTGATTGGTTTTTATTTTATTATTTGACATATGTTTTGGGAATAGTTTTTCTTTTTTCTTTTTTTCCTGTTCTCTGGCTTTTGTCGTATTGTTAGCTAATGATAACGAGTGTTTAGGGAGCGGGGGATTTGCAAAAGGCGAGAGAAAAAGAGAAAATTTGCCAACTTTTTCGTTTGATTTGCATGTTTTTGGCAGGGAAATTTTGGTGTTGGATTATTCCGAGGGCGTTGGCGGGTGGGTGTTCCAGGGGGAGCCTTAATTAGATTAAAATTTGTGACAAATGTACGAGTCGTTTATGAGGGCAGCTGTTGGTGACTAAGCCGGATATGATGGATGCGTTTTAAATGGAAAATAGTACAGCTTAGGGAGGGGAAAAAGAAAGCAACATGGGGATAGGAAATGGGAAATTAAAGGTATATAAATGGGAAAAATAACAAATAACTGCTTTAAAATCTATAAAAACAGATTTTTATGGTTTATTTATGGAAATATTTTTTAGGAATTTATCTAATACAGCCTTCTCATCAATCAATTTTAAATAAAAAATAAAATTTGCAAGTCAAGTTTTATGTTATTTAACCCTCTAACCCCCTTCTAAGGTTAAGGGTTGTAACTTTTTGTAACTTTTGGATTTTTTAATCCATCAAATTTTTGGGTCTAACAAAATTCCAAAAATTTAAAAGCAATTCATTGCTTTTTAAGCAACAAATACTTAAAACAATTTGAAATAAAACCCAGGCACCTGTTAACCCGAAAAACCAGATGCTGTTTTTTGGAATTTCCCAGAAAAATGCTGTGGGAAAAGCGAAAACTTTTACAGAATGTTAATTACAAGGAAGCTCTGACGCAAATGCCGCCCACGCAGAGAGGAAAACCAAAAAAAAAAAAGAGAAGAAAAAACGAGACACACAAAAAGAACATGGAGAAAGCAGAAGAAAGTGAAATGAACCAGACTATGGCTAACGCCCTCTGGCGGCCAAGTGTCGAACGTTTATTAATTGACTGTCAGCTTCATATCCGTACGAAAAGAAACGAAAAAAAAAAAAATTGATATCCCGATGACAGTTGGCATTGTCTGTGCCACTCATTTTCGTTGCTTAACCAAGTTTTCTTTTGGATCCCCCCTGGACTACCCCCAAAGCTCCCTGTTTTTCCCGGGGAGATACTACTACTACTGCTGGTACTGGTACAGCCCCCCCTCTTTGTGTTTTTGTTAAGCCTGAAAACCACCCCTTCTTTCATGGTCGAGTGCAGAGGCAAAGTCCTTTTCAATGACATTGTCATTGCCATCCATTCGATTTCGACTCGTCTCGTTTCGTTTCTCGTCTCCTTGTTGCTCAACAGGTTGTGTCCAGTTTCCTGCCAGCTTTCAGACCCCTCCTTTTCTCCTACTTTCCTTTGAAAGTACCACCCTGTGTATAGTATATAGCCACCACCCTACCCTATATCACTCCCAAGAGAACTTTTTGCCACACCACACAGCCGGCTTTCAATCATGGCGGTCGGTTGGTCGGTCGTTTGGTCTCGGACACTTTTTGCCAACTTGGCTCTCAGTCAGCATCCGACATCGTTTCGAGCTGAATGTGCGTGCGCTAAAAACCAGGCAACAAAAACCATATTCACCACGTTCTATCCCTGTGTGTGTTTATGTGTTGGTACTCGCGAGTATCTGTGTGAGGGTGCAACAGCTGTTCGGGAAATCGGCCAAATAACAAATAAACTTGTCATTAGGCAGGCTGCCTTTGAAATAACCAACCCAAAAAAGGAAATTTAAACGAAGTGCAAATTTTCAATTTCAGTTGACACTTGATTAAAAAAGTTGTGTGTTCTTCGAACTTGTAGTTGTGTGTGTTTTCTCTTCGACTTCCTATTTGTTTTTTTTTGAATATATTTTCCGGGTAAGTTTTGCAAAACGGCAACATATGGTCCATAATGCCACGCCTACTTGTTTGGTTTCGGTTTTTTATTTTCAATTTTTTTTTTTTTGTTAGCTACCAGACGGCCACCACCCCTCATTCCATTGTCAATATTGATTTTTGTGTGATTGTTATTTATTTTTCATCTTGCACAGACACACTCCTTCGAAGGACTTTTCCTTGGCTTGTCTCCTGCCCAGTTTTCCACTTTTCCTCCTTTCATTCTTTCATTTTTTTTTTCCAAGTAAATCTTTTATGTAATTTAAAGCTTCTCGGGCTGGCTTTCTTTTGCCATATGTTGGCCATATCTCTGCGTGTGTGTGTGTGTGTGGGATGTGAAAAAGTGAGCTCGAGTCCCTGAGTCTCCGAGATTCGCAGGACTTGTACCAGCTGTTTTCACACAGGTGAAGGGTACAAATTGTTTGCACACCACTCCCCCTCCCCACCCAGCACAGACAGCAGGCAAGAGTGGGTTAAGAGATAGAGAGAGAGCTGCATGGGTTAAGGGGTGGGTGCAAGCCGGTCAGACTCAATTGAGAGATTAAATTGATTTACCTTGTTTGGATAATATTTATTTTCACTATGGTGATTGAAAGTGATTTATATTTATTCTATTTACATTCACAGCAAGTGCTGCTTGTTGGCTTTTAGAGTTATCGATAAAGTCAAGTTGGGCTGGAGTTTATATAGAGTATATATGTTTAACCGATTTAATAATATTTTTTATGCTTTTCTTCTCGTTTTAGGTAAGTTTTCTAAACCAACCTGTGGACTATTATTGGGTAAGATTTTATTAGAAGTAAAACAAAAATAGATTTAAATATAGAGCTGGGAAGGCAAAGATAACTAAACTATCGATAACATTATCGTTCGATAATTAAATAATCTTCTTAAAAACTTTACAAATGACTTAAGTCCTGTTTTTCTTGAGATTTATAAAGTAAATGAAAGAAACTCTGAGAAATATCGATTTTTTCGATAACAAAATCAATGCTTTGCCAGCTCTAAAATGAAACCTTAGATTAATAAATTCCCATAAATTCCAATAAACATTCCTAAGGGTTATCTCATTTTTATTTACTTGCCAGTTATTATATTTTTCCAATCCTTTTTTTTACACCAACCGTAACTTTCAACCGCAAAAGTTAAAGGTCATGAAAAACTCACAAAAGCCATCCAAAAATTATGAGAGAAAAAAATTCATATTTAGAATTCCTTTTCATGGAATCCTTCTTAACCCCAAAAACATGCAAATAAACGAAAAATATTTCCAATCAAGGAAAAAAGGGAGTCAGGAATGAAAGCCGCTGCAAACAAAGTTCAAATTTGTGGCAACAGTTGTGGCCAATACAATAACAATAAAAAAGAAAAATCAAAAATAAGAAAATCCTGAGAAAATCAAGAGCTAAACCCTAATAGTCAGCGAAAAACCAACGCCCAAAGGGGGAGGCAGAAAAGGATTCGCCCACCTCTGGAAATTGCCTCGGGAAACTTTGCGTTTGAAGGCAGGAAAAATCGAACAACAAAACTCAGGGAATTACTTTGAAAATAGTTGGCAAAAAACAACAACAACAACAACAACAGCAAGTAATGAGCATTGAGCGATAAAGCTCGATGCATGAAAAAGACGATGGCGAAGTGGGCGTGGCAAATGCAAAAATGGCGAACGGCAAGCGGCAAACTCGAGTTCGTGGCTAAATCGGAGATTGAAGTGGTTAAAGTACCAAGGGCCATTAGGGAAAGGGGAGAAAAAGGCAAAGAACGAAGGGCTGATCTTGAAGAAAGTTTTTTGGGGGGGAGGGAGTTAAATTGGTGGAATAAAAAGGGGTTAGAAGGGGGTGGCCAAAGGAAATTTGGTGGCGATGGCGACAGCTGAAATCAAAAGACAAAAACCCGACAAGTTGTAACCACAAAATGAAAGGGGAAAGTACCAAGCCACTAAAAACTCGCCCTTATCTTTGACAACCCAATAAAAGTGGGGAAAATATTTCAAGGAAATTCCTTTTTTTCATCTTTGGTTATAAATAAATTCTTGGAAAAATCAACTTAACTGCTATCCAAAATAAACACTTTGCAATCTTATTTATCCCATCAAAATAAAATGAAAATTATCCAAGGAAAAACCCACAGAATAGTTTCAAAGCCATTTCCATTGGCATTGTGCAATTTGCAGACCGATTAGCCGCAGGACTCATTTTGCAGTAGTGGCAAACATGAAATTAATTATGATCATAAAATTATGCAGCAGCATAATGGCCACGCCTGTTAGCCCTCCCTCTTAACCCACTCCAAACTTAACCCACACCCCCCACAAAGCACACCAGAATAGTTGAGAGAAAATAATAATTCGAGAAAAGTTTCCCTTGGAGTGCGTAATAAATGTTTACGCAAATTGGGCAACAGGCGTTGAGGATGTGCGATGTGGAATGTGGGGGGGTGAAGCCAAGTGTGTGTTTGTATCCTGGGGATAGTGGCTCCTGGAAAAATGAGGGGTGGGTGCCCCAAAGTGTGGCAACATCACTTAAGCTTCTCCCTTTTTGCCAACAGTTAACTAGACAAAATAATAGTTGATAATAATAGTTGCAAGGAGTTTTCGCCAGCCAAAAGTGCAATGGTGAGACAAAAAGAGAAAAGAGGGCGGAAAAAACTTTTTCCAAATGCACCAGAAGAATAACCCTTGAAATGTCAGGGGAAAACTGCAATGGAAACACTTCAACTTTAACTTCAAAAGTGTGGGTGATGGTGGGTGTTGGTTGGGAAATGCAACTAAGGACTGTGTGCGTAAAGTCGCTGGGAAAATGATAATAATTTATGTGGAAAGTGGCGAAAAAATGAACAGAAAAGTTAAGGAAGTTCAGGAGCTCTCTATTCTTTACTAATTTGGGAAAATTACACCATTCATTTAAGCAATTTTGGGAGAAAGTACTTTGCTTTTCACTGAAATGGGAAAATGTAAAGCTGATATAGGTACTAGTTTAGGTTTTTCATAGATTTTTCCTCTTATCAAGAAGTACTTAAAAAAGCTCAGAGAAAGCCAGAACTTCAAAGTCTAAAATCTCAAACTCTAATCCTCCTAATTTCTCCTGCTTTTCCTTCCTATCTTTCCTTGGCATCTAATCAACTTGTCAAACAGAAGTTTTTCCTTCAAATTTCCTGCCATCTAAGTAGACTTTTTCCATCTCCTCCTCACTGTTTCCCCCACTTTACGGCTTCATTAACTTTGCCTCTAATAACTCACACGTATGCCTCGTAGCAACCTGCCTTCTAGCCCCTTCCATCCATCTACTCATTAAAACGCAGCCAAATGAAAATTTTCATTTTTTTCCCGTTGTTCTTTTTAATAGTTGTTTTTTTTTTTTGGGTAAAGAAAATATATAAGAAAAAAAAAGAACAAGCTGTTTTAATGTTATATCTATTTTAATTGCAAAATGCTGCCCAAACTTCGCCGTAATGGAGTCCTTCCTTTCTAACTTGGCTCCTACTTGGGGGGCTCCTTTGGAGTTTTTGTGGTGGGAATGGTCTCTGTGCCGTCTCCTGGCCATAATTAAACTGCCATTTGGCACGTACGCGGACTTAATGATATTTACAGCAAAAACTCTGGAACACCCAGCTAACAGGGGAAAATATAATATATAAAAAGGAAAATAGGAGAGAAAATGTTTTGGAGCCAGGAGCAAGCTGCTGACACGTCGCGGAGTCCTGTCCCTCCAGTGTCTGTCACTTCTGGACGCCTGTGCAGCTCCTCTTTCTCTTAGGATTCATGTCCTTCTGTCGCCTTCTTTTTTGATGTTGGGTGTTCCATGTATTCTGCCTGACATTAGCTGGGTTGCCAAAACATATTTTGGTACCCTATGCTTTCTGGGGGATATAGTTTTGAAGTCTTACCCATTAATATCAAAAAATGTTAAGTCAAGAAGATACTTTTCAAAGCAACCTTAAGAAAAACTTCATATCTACAGGGTACTAACTACCTCGATTGCCTTTTCCCCTGAAACATTTCCCAGCTATTTACAAAAGGCGGAGTCGAAAGTCTTGTCACCTCGTCTGTCCTTTCCTTGGCTTTTCCTTCAACATTCTGTTTTCCCAGCCATATAACTCCTCATAAGTTTGCATGTTCTGTTAGTTTCTTAATTTTTTTTTCTTAGAAGTTTGACTTTTTTCTAAGAATATAATTTGCCTAGTCTGCAGAGCTTCCTCTTATTTCCGCTGTTCTGCTTGTTCTGCTTCAGCTTCTAGAGTTTTCCTTCCTGGTGGATGAAAAAACCCAACGGAAAAATTAAGAAATTCCTGTAGTATAATTGCTTGGCATACGTGCTGGAATTTTTGTGCTCTCTTCTTGTATCTCACTCTTTCTTCTTGGTACTCAAAACTTCCTGCTGCTTCCTTTTTTTTCTTTCTTTTTTTTTTTAGGGGAGACTTTCTTCCGTTTTTTTTTTTTTGAATTCGTTGCAAATATTTTTGCACATAATATTCAAGTTGCGTGCTTGGGATAAACTTTTTTTAATGCCTTTTTTTAGTATTCTCCATACGAACTCACTGCCTTGTACTCATTCTTCATCTGAACTCCTCAACTTAAAGTTCAAGTTGAAGTTTTTTGGAAGTTCTTCAAGTTTTGGCGCCAGGTGTAAAAACAGCCTAGAGGCAAAAAAAGAGCAAGAAAAAAGACTAAAAAAAAAAGAGAAGGAAGTTTGAATCCCGCATGGTTGCATTTTCACTTGCACACACACACAAAGCATGTGAGGTAACCCCAGACAGAGTTGCCAACTTTTTCGCTGGTTCCCCCAAGTGTCCTGCGGGTTTTTCCCTTTCCCCCCCCCATTTAAAAAGGAAAAGGGAGTGCCATGAAAGAGCTTACTGCGGTTTGCTCTCTCAACTGAACACGATTTTTGAATTAATGCATAAAATGCAAGCTCTTCCTGCCCGGCTTCCTCTTCAATTCTCTACCATTTCTTCCGCTCAAGTCTTCTGTTACTTCTTCTTCTTGTTGTTCATCTTTTTTGAACCCACAGGACATCCTTTTTGTTGTGCTTGTAACATTTTGCAGTGTTTCTGGCCAAATTGAAGTTGAATGTCTGGGACTTTATTGTTTGCTGGTAAGTGCGCGGAAAGTGGTTGAGGATGTGTGAAAAGGCTGGGTGGTCCTGCAAAATACAGGATATGCTAAAGGTATCTCATAAATTATAAAGTTAAAAAGGAGAATCTTTGATTTGGATATGAAATATTAAAGTCTATCTTTGGCTATTAACTTAAGAAACCTTCGACTTTACCCTTTTGAAGTCTCATCTTAGCTAGCTCTTCCTAACCTCGTATATTCTTCATCATTATAAACCACCTTATCAATCTTGATCAACTTCAACATAGCAATTGCATTAGAGTTTCCACGAACGACATCCTTTCTCCTTTGGGTTGTGAAAATTTTCATATTTCTCAAGACGTTATGTCTGCCGTTGATGCTCTTTAACCCACGGAGCTGCTCCTCTTAGAGTTTCTGCCATATTTTTCATTCCACTTCAATTATCATTATAGTTCACAATCAGCTGCCAAACGCGTTTATACTTGAGCTTCCCCCCACCACCCCTCTCAATCATGCGTCTCGTTTTCAATTTTCTCAATTCCCCAATCGATGGCAGCTTTTCTCTCTTCGCAGCTCGGGAAATTCAAAACAAGCTTGAACGCAGATGGAAAATAGTCGAGGAAAACTCAAGAAACGTGAAATGAAGACATATTCAATTATGCCAGTTCCGGGGGGCAAAAAAGGGGTTGGGGCAGGGTTGGTTGGGTG